TTTAAATGATTCTTCTATTTGCAGTATCTACAGGTTTTCTTATATATAGTCTCCAAAATCAAAGCAAATAGAAGCCCTTTTAGTTGTTTTACCTAAATAGCTATTATTATATTGACTTCTAGCTAATTTACTTTTTATGGCTATTTAGAAATGTTTAGCCAAATATTGGTTATTTCTTAAATTGGAAATTTTACATTTTAATATTTTTATTTTTTTAATCTGATTTTTCCTCTAATTCAGGTGTAAGCCCATTTACAGACAGAATATGGTCCTTTTTATGTCAGCTACTAAGTCTTCCCCCAGAATGTTTGAAAGTTTCCTAAAGTCTGTCTTACATCTTTATTTAGTTTACAATTTTGGATCATCATTCAATTTTCCCTTAAAAGAAAAAATTCTGAAATTGCCTTATGTAATGTCTTTTCTATTTTTATATTTAAAATTTTGCACAGCTGGGTTATTTAAATCTTCTCTTTTCTACTCTGCTGCTTCAAAACATTTTCTCCATGAGAGGCTAATAATTAATTGAATTAATTGGTAGAGATCATCTGAAGTGCAGGACAATAAGCATCTAATAAAAGTCCTGAATTCTGTAGCAAATATTTTGCCTATATCCCTGAAGTTTAGGAAAATCATTAATTATTGCACTTACCTTGGCTCTAGACCAGGGTTTTAATTAAACTTCTAAAAATCTGACTTGTGTTCTAGTAGTTTTATAATATGATCTTCTTTTCTAGTGAACATTCTGAAGAGAGGGGAGTTCAGGTAGCAATGCACAGAAAAAGAAATGCAAAGAGGGTAGACTTTAGAAGGTTACAAAGGCCTTGGGAAAGACCATATTGGAACATGAATTGTATTTTGCAGCTTCAGTATGACAATTAAAGGAACTGACTCTCGGCTATTTGGTATTTTTGTCTCCTACTTTTTCTAAAGTTCTTTTAAATATTTTAATATTTAAATTTATTGAATTTGACATATCAATAGTCCTACATAATGGCCATTGTTACTTTGTTTTTTTTTTTAATGTATGTGTGTGGGTATATATAATATATGCATATTATACGTTGTTGTTAGGTGCCATCAAGTCGGTTCCAACTCATAGCGACCCTATATGCAACAGAACGAAACACTGCCCAGTCCTACACCATCCTCACAATCACTGCTATGTCTGAGCCCATTGTTGCAGCCACTATGTCAATCCATATTTTCAGGGTCTTCCTCTTTTTCACTGACCCTCTACTTTACCAAGCATGATGTCCTTCTCCAGGGACTGATCCATCCTGGTAACGTGTCCAAAGTTTGTAAGACAAAGTCTCGCCATCCTTGCTTCTAAGGAATATTCTGGTTGTTCTTCTTCCAAGGCAGATTTGTTTGTTCTTCTGGCAGTCCATGGTATATTCAGTATTCTTCACCAGCACCACAATTCAGAGGCATCAGTTCTTCTTTGATCTTCCTCATTCATTGTCCAGCTTTCTCGTGTATATGAGGCGATTGAAAACACAATGGCCTGAGTCAGGTGCACCTTAGTCTCTTTACTTTTTAACACTTTAAAGAGGTCTTTTGCAGCAAATTTGCCCTATGCAATGTGTCCTTTGATTTCTTGACTATCGCTTCCATGGATGTTGTGGATTCAAGTAAAACAAAATCCTTGACAACTTCAATCTTTTCTCCGTTTATCATGATGTTGCTTATTGGTCCAGTTGTGAGGATTTTTGTTTTCTTTGTATTGAGGTGTAATCCATACTGAAGGCTGTGGTCTTTGATCTTCATCAGTAAGTGCTTCAAGTCCTCTTCACTTTCAACAAGCAAGGTTGTGTCATATGGATAACACAGGTTGTTAATGAGTCTTGCTCTGATCCTGATGCCCTGTTCTTCATATAGTCCAGCTTCACTGATTATTTGCTCAGCATACAGATTAAGTATGTTGAAACGGTACAACCCTGACACACACCTTTCCTGACTTTAAACCATGCAGTATCCTGTTTTTCTGTTTGAATGACTGCCTCTTGATCTATGTGCAGGTTCCTCATGAACACAATTAAGTGTTCTGGAATTCCCATTCTTTGCAGTGTTATCCATAATTTGTTATGATCCACACAGTCGAATGCCTTGGCATAGTCAATAAAACACAGGTAAACATCTTTCTGGTATTCTCTACTTTTAGCTAGGCTCCATCTGACATCAGCAATGATATCCCTGGCTCCATGTCTTCTTCTGAATCTGGTTTAATTTTCTGGCAGTTCCCTGTCAATATACTGCTACAGCCGCTTTTGAATGATCCTCAGCAAAATTTTACTTGTGTGTGATAGTAATGATATTGTTTGATAATTTCCACATTCGTTTGGATCACCTTTCTTCGGAATAAGTATAAATAAGCATAAATATGGATCTGTTCCATACTTATGTATATGTATACATATAATATACATACATGTATATGTATACATATACATACATGCATATGTACATATATATATGCACGTATGTGTAGGTATACGTGTGTGTGTGTGTGTGTGTATATATATATATATATATATACAGGAGCCCTGGTGGCACAATGATTAAGCAATCCGCTGCTAACTGAAAGCTTGGTTGTTTGAAGCCACCCAGTGGCTCTGTGGGAAAAAAGACCTGGCGATCTGCTCCGGTAAAGGTTACTGCCTAGGAAACTCTATGAGGCAGTTCTGTTCTGTCCCATGGGGTCATTATAAGTTGAAATTGTTTCTATGGCACCTAACAACAACAACAGCAACATATTTTTATATACGTGTGTATAAATTATCTTGCCATTTATCAAGGAAATAAGAGTTAGAATTAAATTTTGATTTTCTATAGGAAACAGAAGCTGTTAGAGGAGACTGGGACATAGGCAAACCCATGATACACACAAAAACAAGGCCACTGTGATCAATCAAGAGTGTGTGTTTATGAATGGTATCTTAGGTTCCTGGAACAAACAGAATATAGGAAAATACCACACAATCACTAAACAAAAAAGTGATCATTCACAAACTGACAGAGCAGGAAGTGCCTCATTTATGTTTTCCAGAGGAAACAGGGTTGCTGTGGGTTGGAATCGACTCGTAAGGCAGTGGGTAGAGGACCTGAAGCCATGTTTGAACAATCACTTTTTCACAAATTGGCTATCATTCTAACAGATCTTTAACCATTACCACCTAGGGCCGGTTTGGATTGGAGACTTTTGGGGCCTATTCTTCCATCTGATCTCTATAAACCACTCTCTTATACATTCAACAGAAAAAGAAAATCTGAAACTAAACGAAATAACACACGAAACAAGATTTTGTGCATATAAACGACAGCAAAAACAAAATGCAATAGAGAAATAAGCAACTAATGGAAAAATGTTTATCAAATGGTATATCTCTAAAGCAAAATGTCCACTGACCTTATGAAAAGACCTAAATCTGATTAGCAACTGGTACACCTCAAAACCAAAAGGCTGAATCATTAAATACAAAGATATAGGCCTAGTAACCTTATGCAAAGACCTACATGATTACAAATCCTAGGCTAGCCAAAGAAATTCAGCAACAAGAGCTCAGTAAAACCAGTCAGATCTCAGGATGTGGTTGAGACAGACTCACCTGGCAACCCGGCAGATGACAGAGTTTGGCCACAAAGGGCCCAGTGAGTGAACCTGTTGATTGGAGAATCTCCTAGGATGCTACCAAATGGGGGCCTTCAAAATTATTTTGGTGGAATATCTAGAAATGTGAAAGGATGGTAAGACTAAATACATGAAATTATGATACAAAGCTGAATGTATTGCTTACTAGAGTAAAGGAGAGGTATGCATGTCGGGTACTGTTTCTCTGAGCAGAGAGGACTGCTGATCTTATATGGGGTTTTTGGAAGGTATGGAGTTCAGGAATTGACAGGCATTCATATACATAAACTGGTTGACATCATCTGTAGAAATGTGATTACTCACAAGGGAGCGCTGTTGATTGATTGACATATGATTTATGGAAGTGAGTCTCTGTGGTTGGCTGATTATCAGAAGAAAGGTCTGACACTGATTGGTTGGCATGAAAAAGTACATTCACTGAGGTGAGTTGCTGTTGATTGAACAGGCTTAAAACTGGTTCTGGTGGTTCCTTGCTACCATGACTACAGAACAACGAGTATTTTTCTAGATTTATGAAAATATTTTTATTCTCACAATTTGGGAAATACTGGCCCATACCAAACACAAAACCCTGTGAAGGGTTTGCCTCCAGGGCCTGAGAAATTTTTCTTCCATTCTGAAATATAAAACAAACTCTCTTCTCAATTTAGAGGGAAAAGATAAGATAAGTCAGGCATTTAGGAACACAACAGTCTCTCCTTTCAAGAGATACGTGAGTGGGAGATTTCATTTTTCTTTGGTGAGTCTATTAGAGGTTGCTAACTCAAAGACCCTCAGGTGCCAGATACAGTTAATATGTGGATAAAGGGGTGAGATTTAAGGTGAGTAATATAGAGTTCCGTGGTAAGCAGAAGAATGCAGATTCTGCTAAAGAATTCAAATTAAATGTATGATTAAAACACTTTTCTATGAGTTGGACTCACCTCTGGACAATTGCTACTTAAAAATGAAATTTTTTAAGTTTATTTCTTATTAATTCACTTTGTTACATTTAATATTCATTTAACCCTTTACTGGAGACATAATTCATCTTCCTTTTTTTGTGTGTCTGAAAATGTAGAACCAAGTTCCATCTACAAAGTGGTGGCATTCATAGTGCTAATATTGGAAGAAAAGATTTTCTGTAGGTTCAAGTATATCACATTAGGCTTGTAATGAGATTAAGTCTGGAGACATGATTTTCTAGGGAAACAATGCTGTATCTTTGTGTAATAGTGAGCCATTAAAAAAAAATTAAAATAACACAAATCATGGAAGATGTTAAGATACCTATGCTAGTAATTAGTAAGCATTGCCATTTCTGCTCTGTGGAAATCTTGGATTCTTTCTAAAACTGATTTTATGATCACAGGCTGTGAACCAATTCCTGTCCGCTATCTCGAGTGGAGCAACATAGAATCCATCATTGCTATTGCCTTCTCTTGCCTGGGCATCCTTGTTACCTTGTTCGTCACCCTCATCTTTGTGCTGTACCGGGACACACCAGTGGTCAAATCTTCCAGTCGAGAGCTCTGCTACATTATCCTAGCTGGCATCTTCCTCGGTTACGTGTGCCCTTTCACTCTCATTGCCAAACCTACCACCACGTCCTGCTACCTCCAGCGCCTCCTGGTTGGCCTCTCCTCTGCCATGTGCTACTCTGCTTTAGTGACCAAAACCAATCGCATTGCACGCATTCTCGCTGGCAGCAAGAAGAAGATCTGCACCCGGAAGCCTAGGTTCATGAGTGCCTGGGCCCAGGTGATCATTGCATCAATTCTGATCAGCGTGCAGCTAACACTGGTGGTAACCCTGATCATCATGGAGCCCCCCATGCCCATTCTGTCCTACCCAAGCATCAAAGAAGTCTACCTTATCTGCAACACCAGCAATCTGGGTGTGGTGGCCCCTGTGGGCTACAATGGGCTACTCATCATGAGCTGTACCTACTATGCCTTCAAGACCCGCAACGTGCCCGCCAACTTCAACGAGGCCAAATATATCGCCTTCACCATGTACACCACCTGCATCATCTGGCTAGCTTTTGTGCCCATTTACTTTGGGAGCAACTACAAGATCATCACTACCTGCTTTGCAGTGAGCCTCAGTGTGACGGTGGCCCTGGGGTGCATGTTCACTCCCAAGATGTACATCATCATTGCGAAGCCTGAGAGAAATGTCCGCAGTGCCTTCACCACCTCTGATGTAGTCCGCATGCATGTTGGTGATGGCAAGCTGCCCTGCCACTCCAACACTTTCCTTAACATCTTCCGAAGAAAGAAACCAGGGGCGGGGAATGCCAAGTGAGTTATCTGATCTGGTTTGTTTCTCTTCTCTCTGTGTCTCTCTTTTCTATTTTCGTCTATTTGTCTAAGTCATTTTTCTCCATTCCCCTAACATTTTTTGCTTCCTTTCTTAATCTTTTCTCTTTTTTCCAAATCTCACATTCTGCTGCAGTAGAAAAATACTAGAGGCCGTCTTTGTCTCCATACCTATGAAAGAGCAAAGAGCATGAAAGCAACAGCAAGGTCAGAATACAAGGAATCATTCTTGCCTAGAAGCCGTGGCTTCAGTTCTGCCAGTAATTTTTCCTTTCACATGGGTCCTCCCAGCACAGAGCATCAACCCATCTCTGGGGTCTGAATCAAAGATGCAAACACTAGTTCTAATTTCTAGGTTAGACCATGGGTGACAGTAGTTTCTGATTTTTTTTTTTTTATCACTGTACCACATTATAACTAATCTGGGGTGGAGAGGAGGGAAACGAAGCACACAGGGAAATTACTGTTTTGAATTTTGACTGAAGCTGAACACCAAGTATGTCCCGAAATAAGACCCCTCAAGTAACTGCCCAATCGCTTCCCTCTCTACTTACTGAACTTTAATACGTGTTTTAAAAGAAATAAGGAACCAGATAAAGGTGATAAGCCCCAAACTCAAGATTTAGTGAGAACATCAAAATCCAGATTATTTCTATCCTGGTCATTCTTCTAAACAGTTTATGTAATAAACACTTTCCTGTCATCTTCCTGGCTCTGTTCTCCACAGAAGCATATGTTAAAATTTGCATGTGTCATCTCTTTCTGAAACCCACGAAAACAAATTTCATGTACATTTACAATTTTAAAAATGACATGGATGTTCAAAGTTCTAAAGGTAACTGAATTATTCAAGAATTCAGCAACTTTCCCCCTTAGCAGCATTAATTTCATTTTTTGAAACAATGCTTTAAAAAGTGAAAGATTTTAATAGTAACAATCATAACGTATACATTATTTTACAACCTTCAGCAAGTTAACAAGCTAAGATGTGGATGTTATTTTCCCTATTTTGCAGATGAGGAGACTGAACTACTGTGAATTTTGATGTATCGATTTCCAGCTCTTCATAAAATGCTGATTATAAAGTTTACTGATAGTCAAATTTATCTTGTTTGCCATGGTTTTTCATGCTAGCCAACACTCTCTCAGTGGCAACCTCCTGGCAGGGAGTTATCAGCAAACATAAAAACAAAACAATATGTATACCATAGCCACAGAGTCCAGATATAAAATGGCATCATAACAATTTTCATAAAGAGAAAAGGAATAAGAGGAAATGAACTGAAAAGAAATGAGAAGACACCCTGAAAGCCAGAATGCTCTTAGGCATTAAGGGGTTTCCTTTACTGCATCACCTATGGTTTTATGAGGGTTCCATCATCTACCATTATCCAGCTCCATCTTTCTATTCTGCCTTTATTATGATTCTTCAGAAAATTTCATATGATTTTTGGACATGGGTCATTTCTGAAAGCTGTTATTCTAACCAGTTAATGAAAAGAAAGAACCCATAGGATCAAGAAATCTCGTATTGGTGGCCAGGAATCTGCCTTTTTTGAACTCTCCCCAGTAATTCCATGTGCCATGTGCAGACAGGTGTGGACACCTGCCCAAGAGTGCACTGACTAATGAGTAATATGCAGAACTTGCTGCTGGGATAAAATGGAGCTATCCAATGTTACTTTCACAATGCTTAGCACTTCCGTAGGCAACCAGGCATTACAGTACATTCTGATTACTCCCCCACACCTTAAACTGCTCTCCTTATACTCTGAGAAAATTCCCTTTCCTATAAGGAAGTTGGAGCCCTGATGGTGTACAGTGGCTAGAGAATTTGGCTGCTAACTGCAAGGTCAGCAGTTCAAACCCACCAGCTGCTCCAAGGGAGAACGATGTGGCAGTCTGCTTTTGTAAAGACTGCAGCCTTGGAAACCCTGCGGGGCAGTTCTACTCTGTCCCATAGGGTCGCTATGAGTTGGAATCGACTCACTTGCGATGAGTTTAGTATTTTTTTTTGTTTGTTTTTTTGGTTATAATGGAGTTAGAAAGGAAATTGCCCATAATTTCATTTAGGAGCCTGCTTCTGAGAAAAAAACCAACATAGTCTAAATGAACCCGATTGGTCATTTAATAAGTGCTGATTTCAATAAATGGCTTAACTATTGGCTGTAATTTATCAAGCAATATCAGATTGTTATGGTAAGAAGGATATTGCTGATTAATAATTGTAACATGCAGTTTTCTTAGTATAATTTGTAGCTTCTCCGTGGTGCCCCCACAGCTAAGCTGAACCACATAGGTTATTTGGAGCTAAACTTCTATGGAAAACAACCATCCATTTACTCATTTTTCTCATTAATTCTGCTCTTGTTTCTCTTGTAACTCTCTATGATGCATTGCTGGAGACAATACTTTTTAAATATACCAGTAATCTCAGTGCCTGTGTTTTTACCTTTTTTAAAATTGTCATTTATGTTTTCCTGGTTTATCTCCAAAGTTACAAAAACCACGAACAATCTAATATTTTCTACAGCAACAAAAATGTAGCAGAGTTTTGCCAACTGAAGCAATGAGCTGAAAACCCTGGAGAACACATCACCCAATGAGCTTACCACCATCGAGGATGTGTAATTCCTACATTTATGGTGCACTGAGGGTGTACGGCAGCCTGCATATGTAGCTATAAACACAGAACAGATGCTGTAATCAGGAGCTTCCAACTGATGGATCTGTCTGAATATTATTCTGAGGAGGAGTTGCAAGTCCAATGACATCCCTGTAACAGGCTGTTTCTGAAATACATGGGAGGAATGATGCTGCAAGTCTGTTTTTGCAAAGTTTACTTCCATTTTTTAATTTTGTTCCCAACTCAGTATCTGGCACAACCAAAGGTTTGGGTGCTTGCTTTCCTGTTTCTGGAATGTAATTTAGGAGAGGTTTAGTGAATAAACTGGGCGTTTAGGTTACTAGAGTTACTTACAGTCAGAAGTCCTATAGCCATAATCCTACCCTGTAAGATCAACTGAATAATATAATTGCCTGTGGCACCTCTCATTTATTTGGCTGCTAATTTAACCTACGTTAATGGGAAAATATTTAGGCCTAACTTAATATAAAGAGATTGGCAAAATTATCTTTCTTGGCAATAAAAGAAACATAGAAATACATGGAAGTTCATGATAAAGTGAATTATTTAGATCTGTGTTACTTATTGCCTCCTTTTAAAGCAAAATGAGTTAACATACAACTGAATATATTATGTAAATGACACACTTCTTTTAAAAATAATTATATCAATAGCTAAATGCCAAACTAACATTTTTAGTTATTTTTTGGATAAATAACCTCAATGAGTGCCAAAAAATTTGATGGCACAGAGAGCTGAAATGTGACAAAAGCACTTCTATGACCTTTTTCATGCATAATTGCAAAATGAAAACAAACACAACCCCAAGAAAAGGCACCAGGGTGATACAGGGAAGTAATTTTAAAACATAGGCTCCGAAGTAAATAGAATATTTTTATACTACTGGGACTGTTTCTTAAGCATTGAATACATGTCTTTGTTGAGTGCAAGAAATACTAAATTTAAGAATGCTCTGGGGAAATTTCCCTCTTGCTTTGCTAGAAACATTTTTTTATACGCCAGTAAAGATAAATAAGCTGCAACATTAGTCATCATGCCCTGGGTAAGTATTTTAATTTGTCGTTTCCTCTTTGCTTATGAAAGGAAATATGATAGGGAGCCAACAAACATCACAGTCAAACAGTGGTAACATATTCTCTTTAATGGAAAGAATTCATTCACATTCTAGCTTGTCGTTTAAAATTATTTTTCCATAATTATACAAAATATGGCTTTAAAAATTATTATAATTCTTCACGTGAGTTTATAGTTAATATGGAAGATTTTATTGAAGTGCTTGTAGTAGCATTTTACTACTTGGTAGCAACATTTATTGAGGATCTACTGTTCATTCACCCATTTATTCAATCACCATTGTTTCAACAGCCATCTTTTTAAAAGGGCCTAGATTCATGACACGGTATTATTTAGAGTGAAAAAGATATCAGGGGCAGGCACTGACTTCACCAGTCTATCAATATAGTAAGGGAGACTCTTAACTAAATTATAACCAAATGTTAGGTCTGTAATAGAGGACCAATGTACAAATATTTTTCGTGTCCAGGCAAGAAAGTGATTAAGTCCAGCTAATACAGTAGTATAGTAACTGTAGAAGGACTGGATATGTTTCTTAGTAAAGATAGCATTTTAAATTGACCTTAAAAGATGTTTTTAAGGAGGAGAAATTGTGCTATGCTGAAACCATTGTACATATATAGAAAATAATGTAAGTGAATACACAGAAACAGAAATGTTAATGCACTTTCAGGCCACAATACAGAATCTGGTGTGAATAAAGCACATGGAGAGGTGTAGTGTCTGGTAAATTTGTAAATGCAGGAAGAAGACAGACTATGGATAATGTTCAATATCCTAAGAAGAAGTCTGGATACTTTTCTATAAAATATGAGATGAATTAAAGGCTTTTATGAAGTTCATGATCACGTGCAAGCTTTATGGGAAGAGATTTATGGGAAATTTTCTGAGCTTGAGTCATTAGAAGTGAAATACCAGTTATGGAAGGTGAAGGAATTAATAAACAAAATAGAATATGACTTTCTATTTGAACATTGGTGACTGAAAATAAAAAGATACTATAAAAATAAATAGTAGAGGCAGGAGTAGGATTGGGGAGAAAATGTTCATGAGTTGGGTTTGAGATTTATCAGCTGAAAATACTGTAAAGGCTTCAAAAGGGAGGCATCCGTATGAAGTTTAAGTCTGGCATTCAGGAGAAAGGTCTGAGCCAGAGTTCTAAGTTGGAAGCTCAGAGATTAAGGCTTTAACTGTCTGAATGTTTAAAGTGACTAAGAGAATGGTCATGATGCCAGGAAAGAAGAAAACAGAAGGTAGAATA